GATGAAGCGGAGTCGATGGGAGATGGAGGATGAGGAGGAGGAAGGGGAGGGGGACAAGGGGACGGGGGCACGAAAGAGTGAAGGAGGGGGGGGCGAAAGGGCCGAGACGAGGGATGAGAAGAAGGTGAGGTGGAGGGAAGTGATTGATGACTTGGCAGTTTTCGATGAACGTGAGGAGGTCGGCTGCATTCACCGAGAGAGCGAGCATGGGATGAGGGGCCGCGAGGGTATAAGCGTGATGCAAATCCGACGGCGGCAGGTGAGGAGGAAGGAGGTCAAGGGAAAAGCGGGGGAGAAGGAGGGGGGAAAGGAGGGGGAGGTGCAGGTCGATGGCATCAGGGACACGTCCTCACCCAATCCCACTTCCATGTGCCTGCTCTGGTCCTTGTTTTTGTCTCTGTCGACCCAATTTCATTTACCCCTCCACGGTGGCCCTGTCTCCGGCGACCGTCTTCCTTCCCTTCCTCGTCCTCCCTCGCTCCTTCCATTCCTCGTCCTCCCTCGCATCTTCCCTTCCGCTCTTCACCTCGGATACATCTCGCTCCGGGGAATTCTCTCCTTCCTTCCATCGGCCCTTGCTTTCTTTTTCTCCTCAGGATGCTCAAAAGCAGAGGGAAGCGGAGCTGGTGTCGAAGCGCCTGTCTTTCCTGCAGCGCGTCCATCGGGAGCAACGCGAGTTTAAGGAGAAGAAAGGGCTGCACGACCGAGTTCACCCTGCACTTGGTGAAGACGTCTGCAATGCCACGGCCCGTATGGCTGGCACAGAACGTGTACATGAAGTTCTTAATGCCAGTGAAAGTAGCCGCGGTCGTAGCCGGTGGGACGACTCCGATGAGGAGGAGGAGGGATGAGGAGTTCGGCACGAAGCGATGGATGTGGGGGGCCGCAAGGCATAGGAAGTGACCAGCTTTGTAAGGACGAAACATATAGGACAAAGTTTTTTTGGGGAAAGCATACGGTTGCGCTCGTTGGAATTTTTCTTTTCACGAGTCTTCCTCCTTGACAACTATCGTGCTCTTTTGTGTCTCGGGGTCATTTCGCTCTTTCCGCTTCATACCTGCTTTCATACCCTCTTTGATTTCCTCCAGCAGTTGATCCCTGAGCGCAACCGCCTCCAAGTCCTCCAAGCCCTTTTCTAGACGCTCAATCGTGTACACATCAGGGTTGAGACCCTCCTTCTCTATGCGCTCCAACAGGTCTAACGGAATGTCTTCGTCGCCGAAGACATGCCGTCCGTCCTGTACCTTTTTCAATGCCTGCACGAAGGCATCGAGAGACCTGGTCACAGACGGAATCGTAAGTTTGTTATCGTAAGCCATCATCGCGTCATCGACTTGGTTGAGGGCTCGTATAGCCTCGCGAAGACCGGTTATAGGATGGGCGTCGTCGAGTGGTGCCGGCGGCTTTCGAAAAGGTGGCGACGAAGGTTCCATATATCCCGCAGCACCACTGTTCATGTTTTTTTGGGGAAATGAAGTGCGTGCATTAAAAAAACGAAAAATCATGATCGTTGAATGCGGCCATCCTAACAAAATACAGGGGCGGGCCGGGGAAGGAGGAGGTAAATTTGGTCCTTGCCTTGTCCCCCGTGCCTTCCCAATACCTGTCCAGGAAAGTAATAACAAAGCCCCGGCTTTATTTCTAACTTAGGGGGGAGATACATAGTATAGAGGTCGAGATGGACATGCCTGAGGGCCGATGGCAAAGTGTTTGAGTGAATGTAAAGGTCCCGAAGACATGAAGGAAGAAGCTTTCAACCTCCTCCCCCTCTCCGCCCACTCCGATACCGCATAAATTGCATGATGGGCGTCAAAATATGGAAGTCATACCCCCTTGAGGAGAAACTAGATTAATATTTTTTGTTCGAGCGAGAGAATCGACTTTAATGCTCCATAGCGAGAACGGAGGCGTTTACCTTCCGGTGTCTAGTTCAGTCCGTGGTGTGCACTTGTCCTCAATACAGGAAGTGAAAATTTTACGAGGACCATCTATCCGTGCTCTTGCTCTCTTGAGATGATGCCGCTACATTTTGGCTCAAATAAGCGGGGCCACGCCTATCTGATAAACATTGTGCTCGAAGATGACATCAAAAAGAAGAAGCGAGTAAAGTCATGTGTTGGGCTTGTCCCAGCTTATTTGTCTCTGACATATCTGTCTGCTGTATTCATTTGTACACTTTGGTATAACCGCAAATTGCGTCCACCCATGCTTCAAAGCATTGAGTTCGCACTCGATGTCAATCGTTGCTTCATCAGCCCCCCGATGCCACTCCTCAATGCTCCTTGGCCATCTCGTCTTCCCCATTAATCTCCGTGATCACCA